GGTTTTTTGTGGGAGGGAGTGGGCGAGACACGGTAGGCAAGCTGAACAAGTTTGGGATTGGATGGTTGGAATAATTTTGGGAGGTCAGATGGGTGGTCCCTAGTTGTTCAGTACCTGGCTCTGAGGTGATTTAGGGTAGGGGAACATTGGCTTGGTGTGAGAGGGTTAGTTAAAGAAGGTGGTTGGGGGGGTGTGGATTCAAGATTGGTTGGTTTGCATGTGAAAGGCACGCTCACAGACAAGTTGGTTGCTACCTCTAGGAGTTATCTAACCCTGGGAGGGGAAGTCATTACCTGGATCTGCACAGCCCTAAGATGTCAAAGAATCATAAAATAAAAAACATGATTAATACAAGTCGCTGGTGGAACTGGATTTGAAACCAGGCAGTGTGGTTCTACAGAGCATGTTCTTAAACTTCTTTACTATTATTTTGCTTACAGAGAGACAATAATTAGACTTACAACAGATTTCTCCTGAGCAGAGCAGCAAGAAATATTAGTGAAAATATCATGAATGTACATATCATTTATGTAACAGAAGGAAACCTGCTGTTACTCTGACTTCTTAACCCAGAATTCTCAGCCCAGCTATTTTTTTAGCATACCTAAAGTGTAATGATTTTAGACATGCTAAGATTGAGAGTGCTAACTACACATAGGCCCTCTTGAAAGAACTGTCAAAGGATATACCTTCATCAAGAATGATATTAACCCAGAAAAAAGTTTAGGTGCAAGAAGCAATAGTAAGGAAAGAAATTGGCAAAATGTTGATAAATATTTAGATTGACTGCTTTTAAAAATGACTTTTTGGGGGATGTTCAAAAATAAAATGGACTTAAAATACTAGACAAAAATACCTAAGAAATAGGTCAGATTAGATTTAAAACATTTTCATATTCTCATTTGGGAGGATAATGATAATGTTTAATTTTATACTCTATATAGCATGTTTAAAATGTATTTATGTACTAAAGGGATAGAAATAAATGATTTAACTTTAAACCAGTTAAAGGATAATATAGAAAACGATCTATCCAGCATACAGTACGTGTAAATTGATTAAAATTCATCTATTAAAGACAAATTTTGAAATTGTAAATTATACCAAAGGATTATAACCATGATGGGAAAAGATATGATAAATACTTGTTAAAACTGACAAGGAAATATTAATATGTGAAATAGAACTTAAGGCAATAAACGTTAATAGGGTTAAAGGAGGACAGTATGTGATGATAAAAGGAACAAAGTACTAAGTTTCTAATAATCATCAATTCGTATGCACTTAATGACATATCTTTTCACATCATGACCAAAAACAATAGGTTTTGTTTGGCACACTGATTGGAGAGTTCTGCAGTAGAAAGTAAGATAGATGAAAGCAGGGGCTTATTTTTCTGTTCACTAAATTTCCAGTGCCTAAAAGAGTTCCTGGTTCACAGGGAATCATGTAGATAAGTATTTGTTGTATAAATAACTAATTTAAAGAAATAATGGACAGCTACGGAGGAAATTGATAAATATACAAGTCAGTGTGAAATTTTTGAAAACCTTTCAGATACTGGCAGATCATACAGACAAAAATTAGTTAGGCTGTACAAACTTTCAACAACACAATTGAAAAGCCTAATATAATAGCTTCTTGATAATTCTGCTCACAACAATGTATAAGCTTCTATGGTATAAATATTGACTGCAACCAGGTAACAAAGCAAGTCTTCACAATTCCCAAGAATCCATGCCATGTAGTACAATAAAAAGATAATCTTTAAAAATTTCATATGTTTGAAAACTCATAAAAACCATATTCCTAAACAGTTTACAGATTAGAGAAGAATCACAGTGGAAATTTAGAGGGGGAATTTATGGTCTTAAATGCATTTATGAAAGAACAAGAAATGCTCATATTAAGCATTGTTGAAGAAGTTAGGAAAAGGACAGGATCCACCCAAAGAAAGAAGAAAATGATGAAGAGCAGAAATAGAAAACAAAACAATAATATAGAGATGATCAGCAAAACCAACAGAATGATTCTTGGGAAAAATTAATAAATGATTTTTATATTAACGAACCTCTAGAAAACTCAGGAATAAAAAGCACAAATGTTAGGAACAAAAAATGAAACTTTAATCATAAAAAACTTAGGAATAGCATGAATAACCTTATACAATGATTTTGAAAACAAATGCATGGTTTCTTGAAAAATAGATATCAGGACCAATTCAAAAAGAAAGAAAAATCTGAATAGGCCAATAATTAGGGAAGTAATCGACTCTATAAAAGAGGCACATTATCAACGAAATAAGATGTGTGGACCTTGTTTGGATCCTAATTCTAACAGATCAATAGTGCAAAACAAAACAAAGTTTATGAAATAATGAGAATGTTAATCAGATATTTGATGATACCAAGGAATTATATTTATTTTGGAGGCATAATGATACTTTTTCTCATTTTCAGGAAAAGGATGAACTAAAGTACTCAGGGGTCATGTAAGACATTTTGGATTTGCTTCAGAATAGTTAAGTGGTGGTGGTGGTGGTGGAGGAAAGTGAAGATGGGTTAATTTTTTTTTTTAGTTTGTTTTTGTTTTTGATGGGAGAATATTGGGCATCCCGTATTTTTTCAGAAAGAGCTGAATGAGGGGGAGAGTGTGAAGATTGAGAAAGGTAGGTAGTTGATGAATCAAGGTCCCTGTGGAAATGAGATGAGATTTAGAACATAGATGGAATATTTTCCTTTGAGAAAGAGATAAGGCCTTTTCCTCAGAAACTGGGAAAAACAATGCACTTAAAGATCTATTTGGAATCTGGAAAAGGTGATACAGATAAATATACATTTGTAGGCCAAGGTAGATTTACTGTGGAATTATGACACGTAAGGTTTAGGGTGCTTTACTTGCGTTCGTCCCTTTGAGTGATAGGCATTGCTAGGAGTTGTAATGTTCGAGGTAGGGAGGGAACACCAGGTTGTAATCCAGAAGCATTTCTATGTAAGCATTTCTGATAATGAAATTTCAGAGGAAAGTTACCAGATTTCTAAGATTTAAGTAATTTATCGTGACTTCTTTTTTCATTTTAGATAACTTTCACTTAGTAGCTAATTTGGTATTTGTAACTTTGTGTTTCATTTTGTTAAAGAGTTCCACCCACCCTCCAATTTGAATAAACATTGAACTCCACAATACCTGGATTTGTCCCTGCTTGTTGGTATGGGGACAGAAGTTGAGGGAGTTCATAGTCTTCATTGTCTGAGTGAGGTAAGGGACAAGATGATCCGACAAGGATGGAGGTAGGCTAGGAGGCTTGGGTGAGGGTGTGGATTGTTTAGAATGGTCCCTGTGGCACTGAGAAGAGATCTGACTAGGATCTCTGCTTCCGAGAGCCCACACTGAATTTGTCTTTTATTTTCCTCCCCCCAGTTTTGGCCGTACAGGTGTAGGAGCAGAGAAGGCACACTTTTCAGATTAGGGTTCCAGGATAGTAGAAACGGGTGGGGGGATTAGTATATTGAGGAAGCAAGCAGAGAGAGAGGAGTTGGAGTGGAGGCTGGCGGGGAAGGCAGTACAGACAGCAGACGGTGCTCACTCTGGGAAGAGTAAGGGGCAGAGCATTTGTCCAGGCGAGGCTGGAGAGTAGATGCACAATCAAGCCTTGATGAAATAACCAAGACCCAGATGAGGAAGTAGAGGAAGTATGTTTCCAGCATACTCAGATTTATACCCAGGACTCAGTGGAAGGGAAGCCTGCGGAGGAGGTGAGTTTAAGTTATTAATAACACTAGGAAGGTTTTTAGGCCAGAGAAGTAATTGTAAAGGTTATTTGTATAATGTCTTACACTTGACTGCTTTTGTAGTAGATGTTAGGGTTGAAAGAAACAGTAGGTGTGTTTGCTCTGTGTTTTTTAGTGTATTTTTATGTAGTAACTAAAATACGACTCTGTTCACCAACACTGCCCTGGTTTTGTGAGCACCTACTTCATCACAGTCTTTATATCATTTTTACTTCCATGTGTGTCTTACAGAGAAGTAGTAGTCACCCACTAAACAAGAAAATAAGAAACAATGACCTTCAAAACAATGACCTTTACAAGTTTACTTGTTGCCTAAATTAGTTTGCTTAGTCACCAATTGATGCAGTGGAATCACAATTAAGAAAAAATTTGAAAGTTCTTCATTTTGTGTTATTTCTAAAAGATATTTCTTACTCAGGTATACCAGTAATTTCTCCCATCCCTATAAAGCTGCTAGAAGTTTTTAATATGTTGAACCAAAGGACCATTTCTCACATTAGTCCCTCACGGTACCTTCCTTCTTTACCCTTATAGCAAAAACAAAAAGAAAAAAAAGGTCTCATTATCCAAAGACAATCTGTTATGGTTCTAGAATACTGAATTGTTTTAGGAATGACTATCATATTTACATCATCTTTACTCAGTTGATGAATTAGTTGGATGACAGTTCTTTTTTGATAAACAATTAAATTTTAAATCTTTTATTTAAATTTTTTTCTTTGTTTATATAGGCCACCCTAATTTCAGAAAATTTAACAAATTTTAAACAATGTTAGATACCATCCTGAAGGAGCTAGAGAAAAGCTAAACACTTTTATGGAATCTAAGTATGTCTTCCATGTAGAGCCTCTCATTTCTGCAAGGCGTTCAGTCATCAGAGATAAATATGCATATATAATATATACATATGCCTATATTGGTATTCTAATTAATGATCTGTATATTCTTGTTACCTGTTAATCACTGTTAACAATTGGATGCAGTTTGAAGAAGAATAATGAAATTACTAGCAAAATATTCTAATAAATGTGTTTTGGGTTTTTAAAGGAGAAATTTTTTTTTTAATTGAAAAGTTTTTTCCCCGGTCTTGAAAAATCTAACTCTTTGGACAGTCAATCCACTGTGATGATAACATGTTCTTATAGTTGAAAGAAATGTTCTGAATTAGATGCTGAATTATATTTGTTATAATTGTTCCACATACACAGAATGTCCCTGGCTGCTTATTGTGTCATCTGTTGCAGAAGAATAGGAACCTCTACTGCCCCGCCAAAAAAGGACACATACTGGAGAGATATCAGTGAGTACAGTTTAAACAGTAATATTTCCTTATAGAAACAATGATTAAAATTGTGATTAACTTTCCATGGTGGACCACACAAACTTATTTATTAATACCTCATGATTAAGTCTTGGATTTGTTTATGACTTTCTGTACTAATGGTCTATCCAAAAATTGTAGGCCCAGAGCCATACATAGTCCTTTTTCTTAGAAATTCTTTTTCCTCCCCTGCTTTTCCTGTCAAATTTCACACTCATCCTTCTAAACTTAAATGTAATTGCATTCTCATTCAGGAGATATCTTTTATGCTCTAGCAAAATAAGGTGCCAGGCAGATTAGGTTCAGGGAATATAGTGCTGAGCGAGGAGTATGTTGTTGTTGCCCTACTGGGGTTTGGAATTTGGCTGTGATCTAGTCCCCACACTGTAGCCTTTCTCTAGGTCCCTCACACCCTACACCAGGTTAGAGCTGTCACTTGTCATTTTGTAGAGTCAATATAGAACTTCATTAATTATCTGACCTCCCTCATAGACTGTAAACTCTGTGAGGGTAGTGTTTTATCTTGTTTACTATTATATCCTAGTTGTTTATTCTTATATATGGCATATAGGTAATCAAATAGATTTGTTGAGTGATAGAATGAAATAACTTACTTTCTCTGAGTACTATTTCCTTTATTTGTAAAATCTGATTGGCTACAACTGTGTTGCACGGTTAGCCCTAACCTACAGAGTCATCGAGGAATTTGAATATTTTTAGGTAGTAATCAGGTTATGTTAGTAAGGATTAAGAGGCATGTGTATTGGATAGGCAATTGTTAATAGCAATGTCTGCCAGTATGATTTTTTTTTAATATTAAAAAATGTTTTCTGGCCAGGCACAGTGGTTTACACTTGTAATCCCAGCACTTTGGGAGGGTAGGGTGGGAGGATCACTTGAGTCCAGGAGTTTGAGACCAGCCTGGACAATGTAGCGACACCCCATCTCTAAAAAAAAAAATTAAAAAAAAAAGCCAAGTGTGGTGGCATGTACTTGTATTCCTAGCTACTTGGGAGGCTCAGGCAGAAGGAATGCTTGAGTTTAAGAATTCAAGGCTGCAGTGAGCTATGATCATACCTCTGCACTCCAGCCTGGGTGACAGAGACCCTGTCTCTAAAAATAAAAAAATAAAAAAATTATTTTCCAAGTTCCAAACAAAAATGTATTAAAAAACCTGTAGAATGTAACCTATATCTTATCCATCAATTGTAATTACTTTGGGAAACATCATTTTGTATACCTACTTGACAACATAATCCCTTAATCTAGTCCTAGTAGTCATAGGGAGCATTCTCCCCGTTCCTTTATTTAGTTGGATTATTAACTAAAAGGAATCGGAAGGGAAGTGAGCTTCCTGGATGTTGCGTTCAGTGAAAGCACAGTAGTCCCAGCAATATCACCGGGGGAACGGGGACTAGGGTCTCTCGTGATTTGGCAGGGGTTGGAAGAATAGGAGGTAGAGGAAGGGGAGGAGAGTATGAAATTCCATAAATATAAGTTACATTTTTGAACCCAGTGCTTATTGATTGGTTTGTTTGTATTCAAGGATAGGAAACCATGTGTTGCTAGCAACCGACTATATTAATAGAAAAATATCAATAACTTCTTACCTGATAACATATGATATAGGTAGAGATTTACACTGCCACCTATTTCCTGTCACACTTTGAAAAATAAAATTCGTCACATTGACTTCTTTTCTTTCTTTTTGAAGGAAATATAATAAAATTTACTGGATCACTTCTTTTAGGGTAAGTTGTCAACTGACATTAATTTGGCTTCATTATAGTACTATTCAAAACCTCGATGGAAGTGATTGAAGGGTGGCATGGGATAGTCAGAGGGTACAGGTGTTGGAATTAGTCAGATGGATTTAATCACTGGCTCTGCCACTCAAATGTTATCCTGATCTGGTTTCTTTACCCTCTGAAGAATGTTTTCTTTAGATCCGAGTGTGCAGCAGGGTTTCTGCTCGCCTGACACTGTTGCTGTACGGAAAACACTCAACACGTACACAGCAGGCATTCAGTTAGCTTTTGCACGCTAAAAATCACGTCTTGTATTAGGTTCTAAAGTGGGTAAAAATAGACTATAGTCAAAATTATTTTTGAAAATCTCTTAAATCACCGTAAAGTGTTCATGAAAGGAAATTGCAGCTGACTGAGAAAACAAACAGAATGACATCTCCCATTTCATGCTCCTCCAGAGGCACACGCTTAAGGAATGGAGTTACCCTCTTTCTGCAAGTTGTTGTTTTTTGTTCTGTTTTCCATTTTTGGGGGGGATATATATGTTAAATGTATATCTAATACTACTCTACTGTATTTGTTAATACTTTTTTCACTAGTATAAATATAGAATCAACTCCTAGATACCAAAATGACAAAGGGGATACATTTGGCATTTTATTCAAATGCATACATTTCTCCATGACATTGTAATTAAGGCAAAACATATTTAGATGATTTTTTCCTTTGACTCATTGAAGGATAAATGTACACATTCCCTTTTCTGTAATACAGTTTCTTTGTTTAGATCACAATTATATTCAGGAATACAATGAAAATTGATCACATAATTTTAAAAGAATTTTGTCTTTCATGGAAAACATAAAAATTCAGAATACATTTACTCCTTTTGGCTGTTCAGATAAATCCCCAAGAGAGCAGAGGATTCTGTAGAGCCTTGTCTGTGTTCTCCTTGTACTGGCCAGTGTCTGAACTTTCTTTCTCATCTGCTTGCTTTAGGGTGGAATCAGAAGTCAGGAGAAAGTGTAGGATACGGATGTTGCCAGCTCTGAATCCAGGCAGAGTGCAGCCTTTGTGTCTGGAGTGTGTAAATCAATTTGATTAGGAAAAAAAAGTCTTCGTTTTGTGTTGTACATACAACAAACAACATTTAAAAAGCTAATCTTTGTGGAAAAACAGTTTGACATTATCTAGGAAAGTTGAACAATATATATACTGTCACAAAGCATGTAATTCTACTTCTAAATCTGTATCCTAGGGGAACATACACTTACATACGCAATATAGATACGTAAGATGTATGACAGCATGGTTTGTAACAGACTCAGACTAGAAATGTCCTAAATGCCCATTTATGGTAGAGTGATAAATAAGTTGTGGTATATCCATACAATGGATGAATCACATACCATATGAAAATATAAATGCAGGCAACAACATAGATGAATCACACAAACATAAGGCTGAGCAAAAGAATACATATAATGTGATTCCATTCATATGAAGTTCAAAAACAGGCAAAACTAAGCTCTCTTGTTTAAGGATGGTAAAACTGTAAAGAAAAGTAAGGACATTATAAAAAATCAGAATAAAAATTACTTATAGAGGTGAGTAGAAATGAGAGAATGGGTCAGGATGAGGGAGGAACACACTGTAGGCTTCTGGGGCACTGTTAATGTTCTATTTCTTGCCTGGATATGATTATGCAGCTATTTATTATTATTCATTAAACTGAAATGTGTGTGTATATCTATCAGTTTGCCTAATAAAATTGATTTACACACTCCCTAAATTCAGACATAAAGGCTGCACTCTGCCTGTATTCAGAGCTAGCAACACTAGTATCCTACTGTTTCTCCTGACCTCTGGTTTCTAACCCTAAAGCAAGCAGGTGAGAAAAAAAGGTTCAGACACTGGCCAGCACCAGAAGAATACAGACAAGGCTCTAGAGAATCCTCTGCTCTCATGGGGATTTATGTGAACAGAAAAGTATGTGATTAATTTTCATTATATTCTTGAATATAATTGTGATCTAGTCAAAGAAACTGTATTACAGAAAAGGGTACATGTACATTTATCCTTTGCCTGGATATAATTGTACAGCTATTTATTATTATTCCTTAAACTGAAATGTAAGTGTAAACGTGTATACATACGGTCATGTGTCACTTAATGGTGGGGTTATGTTCTGAGAATCTGTTAGGGGATTTTGTCATCGAACTAATATCACAGAGTGTACTTACCAAACCTAGATGGTACAGCCTGCTACACACCTAGGCTAGGTGCTGTAGCCTGTTGCCGCTAGGCTACAAACCTGGACAGCATGTGACTGTACTGAATGCTGTAGGCAACTGTAACACAATGGTAAGTATTCGTGTATCTAAACATAGAAAAGGTATGGTGAAAATAGCAATGTAAAAGATAAAAAAAAAAAAAATAGGACGCCTGTATAGGGCACTTAGCACAACTGGAAGTTGGTCTGGGTAAGCCAGTGAGTGAGTGGTGAGTGAACATGAAGGCCTACGGCATTACTGTATGCTACTGTAGACTTTATAAATACTCTGCACTTAGGCTACACTAAGTTTTTTTTTTTTTTAAGAGGGTCTCCCTATGTTGTCCAGGCTGGCCTTGAACGTCTGGGCTCAAGAGATCCTCCTTACTCACCCTCCTGAGTAGCTGGGATTACATGTGCAAGTCACTGCACCCAGCAGAAATGTTTTTTTTCACTTTTTAAAAATTTTTGTTAAAAATTACGACACAAATAGACACGTTATCCTAGGCCTACACAGGGTCAGGATCATCAGTGTCACTATCTTCCACCTCTATATCTTGTCCCACTGGAAGGTCTTTGGGGTAATAACATGCATGGAGCTGTCATCTCCTGTGACAACAGTGCCTTCTTCTGGAATGCCTCCTAAAGGACCTGCCTGAAGCTGTTTTGCAGTTAACATTTTTTTTTCATAAGTAGAAGTACCCTCTAAAATAATGATAAAAAGTATAGTAAATACATAAACCAGTGACATGGCTGTTTATTATTAAGTATTATGTACTATACATAATTGTATATGTTAGACTTTTTTTTAACATAATGTACATATTTATCGGGTACATAGTTATGTTTCAGTATGTATAATGTATAGTGATCAGATCAGGGTAATTAGCATATCCATGACCACAAACATTTGTTATTTCTTTGTATTGGGAACATTCAGTATCCTCCTTCTGTGCTACACTTGTATACGACTGGAAGTGCAGTAGGTTTGTTTACACTGGCATCAACCACGAACAAGCAAGTAACGCACTGCACTGCAACATTGCAGTGGCTGTTACAACACTACGGGATAGGAATTTTTCATCTCCATTATAAACTTATGAGACCACCTATATGCAGTCCATCCTTGACCAAAAAGTTGTAATGTGTTGCATGACTGTATAAATATATTATATGCACATTATTATATATGCGTTTTTGAGTAAAAAAGAAGTTTATTATGAAAAGCTTAATAAAGGAGAGTAGTTCTTGTGTTACATTTGGATCATGAATTTATGATGAATTTTTTTGTTTCTTTTAAAGAGGTTCTTTATTTCTTACATATGAAGTTCTGGCCCTGAAGAAATCTTTGACATTAGATACTCAAGTGGTAGAAAGAGAAAAAATGAAGTCATATATATATCTCCACACAGTTTCTTTAGATAAAAGAGAAAATCACGGTAAGTTTGTTGTAAAGTAATCCCATCTTTGTGGAAAATGGAAGCTAGTTATTGAATTTTAAAATAAGCCTGTTTAAAACAGTATTTTAGGATAAATTCAGCTATGTCTAAGAATCACCAAACCCTGTGAGAACCAAATTCCTAAAGAATTAATTAAAGACCAAATTTTGGACTTCTGCATTTAACCCAAGTTTATAGCTCTCCTAGAACTAAGTGAAGTAAAGACTGGCTGGCTGTCTTAGTCTGAACCTGGAATGCCACACCTTAGTGGGGCGTTACTTCAGAGGCTAGCCCTCAGTTTGGCAAGTACAGAAATATGATTTTGTCATTTAGCTCAGAGGTATTTCTGCTTTAAGGGATTTATTCATGGAAACAAAACTCATGAGATGGATTTATAAATATGAATACCAGTTCATTTATTATTATTTGTCACAAAGGCTAGAAAACCTGTCTCTGCTAGTTAGGACATTCTCCTCAATATTTAGGTCACACGGAAGCCTTACTGGTAATTGACAACCAGATGGTTGCTTGGCGAACATGAAATTTTAGAGTAGAGGAATGTATTTTCATCAAGATATGGGTAGTTTGGTGAGTCACCACACTTGACTTACAGCTGCCTGTTCCTACATTGCCAGCCAGAGTGTGCCTGTTAGCACATGATGTTCCCTGAGTGGGGCAGGCTGTTCTGCTCCCCTGACTGTGAGCTGTATGTATTACTACTCTGTGCTATTAGTGTTTATTATCATATCACCTTCTTGCATTTCAACATGCTTTTATGGTATGTTTACAATTTCAACTACACAGATAATTGTTATAGTTTATAGTTTACTATAGTGAGGCTTAATCTCATTAGTAAGGTATCTCCAAATTTCAGTTTGAGGTGGGCTTATACTAAGGGGCATTTTCCTGGATATTGCTAATTCTATGTTGTATATGAGGATTTTGTTAGCTTTACTTAGGTAGTGTTTTTGTTTTGCTTTGTTTTTTTACTTTTTCCCTGACTTGGAGATGATCTTACTTTGAAATCCGGAGCTCTGTGTTCCCATAATGGTTTTAGTTGCATTGATAATGACAATAAAAAGACAAAGATCCTATTTTATATTTTTTTCTGAAAAAAAATTAGAGTTTAGTTTATACATTTCTTTTTGAAGTATTGGAGCATAGCATTAAGAATACATAGTTGGTTTTATTTAAGTTTGTAATAATTTTAGGGATTGTCTACCAGGCAAGAAAAGAACTTCACAAAGCAGTAAGAAAAGTTTTGGCAACATCAGCTAAGATATTACGGAATCCATTTGCCGGTAAGTATGAAATATTTAACTTGGAATCGTTATCAGTAATCTGAAAGTTATTTGATGATCAACGTGAGATTTTTTTTGGTCATTCCTTATACTAATATTTTTTATAGCTATGGAAAATTAATTCAGAAACATTATTCTCTTGCACTATATTGAATTTTAAGGGCTTAATGCTTTGGACAGTTTTCTTCCTTCCTTAGATACCTGTAAATAAATATGAGTTTAAATATACCCTGTTCTCTTCATGAGTGTTTCATAATTTTAAATTTGTTAGAAAATGTGTTGCATGCCTTCCTATAATGAGAACACAATCAGGCAAAACTACCGGAGGTAGCTATAAAAGAGCTGAGCTGATCTCTATAAAAAGTTGGCATCATGAAAAAGAAGAGGTGGGAAAACTTTCTAGAATTAAAAGAGACTTAAGAGACTTTATCAAATCCTGGTTTTAAAAAGCCTTAAAAATATCTTTTTGGAAAAATTGAGGAAATTTTAATATGGAGTTAGACTGGATTTTAGATGATTTTGGAAGACTTTTGTTAATGTTCTTGGGTATGATAACAGCAGTGTGCTTATGTAAGGGACGACAGCCTTATGCTTGGGAGATGCAGGTGAACTGTGAAAGGGTAAACTGTCATCATGTCTGCAACTTCCTTTCAAATAGTTTAGGAAACTATTTTAAAGTGATTTCATGCACATAGATGAAGCAAATATGGCAAAGTAATAAGTTATTGAATCTAGATGTTATAAATTTATGGATGTCAGTGTATCATCGTTCAGTTTTTCCATATATTTGATCTTTTTCAAAAATAAAACATTTTCATGGGAAAAAGAAAATGACCACATAGCGCAAGACAACAGAGTATATAAAACAAAAGCACACACAAAATGCTCACAATAAGTATAATAAAATAATATGACTGAATTGAGAACAAATATATCAGTCATTATCAATACCTACAAATGGATTTACCTCTCCTTTGCCAATTTCAGATCTTTATAAATTACCATCTTAAAGTGAGGATAAACATGTTTTCTTAACTGTACACATTATCTTTTTGTTTTGTTTTTGCAAAGACCCTTTTAGTACAGTTGATATAGAAGATTATGAGTGTGCCATGTGGCTGCTGCTGAAGAAGAGCAGGTCAGAGGACAAAACCGAGCGGTTGGAGGCTGTGCAGGAAATGTCAGAGACCCACCACTGGCATGGTAATGAGACCAACTGAACAGGTGGCACACCCTCACCCAACTCTTGATTTTGATATAAAAGAGAAGGAAATGAGATTAAGGAAGGAAAATAACTCAGGCAATCTTAATATATATAAAAAGTATTTTGATTGGACATAGTGGCTCAGGCCTGTAATCCCAGCACTTTGGGAGGCTAAGGTGGGAGGATCACTTGAGCCCAGGAGTTCAAGACCAGCCTGGGCGGCAACATAGTGAAACTCTGTCTATATAAAAATATAAAAATTAGCTGGGTGTGGTGGTGTGCGCCTATAGTCCTAGCTACTAGGGAGGCTGAGGCAGGAGGATTGCTTTGAGCCCAGGAGTTCAAGGCTGCATTGAGCTGTGATTATGACACTGCATTCCAGCCTCAGAACTAGACCCTATCTCTTAAAAAAAAAAAAAAAGAAGATATTTTAAAAAATTTAAGGGCCGGATGCTGTGGCTCATGCCTGTAATCCTAGCACTCTGGGAGGCTTAGGCAGGAGGATCGCTTGAGGCCGGGAGTTCAAGACTATCTTGAGCAAGAGCAAGACCCCGTCTTTCCAAAAAATAAAAAAAATTAGCCAGGTGTCATGGTATACTTGTAGTCTCAGCTACTCAGAAGGCTGAGACAGGAGAATCACTTGGGCCCAGGAGTTTGAGGTTGCAGTGAGCTGTGATAATGCCACTGCATTCTAGTAGGGGCAACAGAGTGAGACTCTGTCTCAAAAAAAAAAAAAAAAAAATTTTTAAGAAGACACTTCATTAATAAAGAAAATAGAAAACTTGCTGACCTGGTAGTTAGGTGTGTTTGGTAGGAGCAGCCTCAAAAATAAGGTGTACATATATTGGTATAACTTTCTACCAGAGCAAAATTTTGATTACATATTTTCTTGAGAGAAACTCTTGATTCTAATAGTTATTGCCTAACGTTGTGCTTGCATTTTCTTTTGGTTCCTATTTAATGGAATTTTGTTATTGATACATAAAGAATGGCATGTTTAAATCAAAGTACTACCATCTAGAACCTTAGACCAAATATTCATGGACATCATGGAATACCAAAACACCATGCCATCACCACAGAACAGAAGACTTACATGCAACCTCATGTGTTTTGAGTAGTGGTCAGAACTATTCAATGCTGGAATTATTAAAAAAGAAGTTAAATTGGTTCTGACTTACCAGTTTTCTCATTTGAGCTTCATTTTTTCCAAAACGTTAATATATCTGGTTGCCAGATATATTAATGTGTAAGGAGCATTGTGAGGTGAATCATGGAAATGTTGGGTATCTGTTATGTTAATAGCTTATAGATAATGTAACTGCAGTTGTAGTTGTGAAAAAATACTTGGGAAATTTTGGATTACAAATTTGTAGAGCGGTTTAAAAATTAGAGTGCTTTCAAGTCGTTCGTTCATTTAATCTTTGTGATGATTATAAACTAATTTGGGTGTTAACAAAAGATACACTTTTTTGATAGATTACCAGTATAGGATAATTGCTCAAGCCTGTGATCCAAGAGTTCTTATTGGTTTGGCACGAAGCAAAGAGAGTGATCTTCGCTTTTTTCTCCCCCCACCTCCTCTGCCATCTTTAAAAGAAGTAAGTAAAGAAAATAATCCAGGGAGTGAAAAATAGCATCATCTTCACTTTGGGTGCAAAGTGAACTTTCAAAAAGTAGTTGTTGGCTTCTTTTCACGAGTAGGCAAACTAGGATATAAAACTAAAATTGTAGTTTTCATACAAAGATTTGCTTCCTCAGTGTTCTTCCTCTTATATTATTTTCTGCCTCTGGGAATTGGGAGTCTCTGTAAACCACTGGATGACTCCATAGCATCACAGCATATAAACATCCATGAGCTGATCCCTTCTAAGAAACTGCTGTAGGTCAGGTTTTCTCAACCTCAACACTATTGATATTTTGGGCCAAATAATTCTTTGTTGTAGGAGGCTGTTCTGTAAATTGTAGGATGTTTAGCAGCATCCTTGGCCTCTACTCCCTAGGTGCCAGTAGCACCTCCCAGTCATAACTAAAAATGTCCCCGGACATTGCTAAATGTTTCCTGGGCAGCAAAATAGCCCCTGGTTGAGAACCATTGCCACAGATTTGAAAGCATGTTTCTTGAGTACCTTTCCTGGACTAGAATATGAAACTCTTAAAAAATTCTGTTAGCAATTAGTTTTTAAAAAGTAGAAAAGTGAATATACTAGATGTTAGAGTGTGGAAAGCCAGTGCACATGAGTTTTGAGAAAGATTTCTCCAGACAAAGTTTAGGATAGGAAGAAGAAGTTAATTTACTTTTTCCTGGGTGGAGACAGGGCCAGAAAAAGGACCAGCACAGAGGTGGAGAAAGGAAGAATGTGCTGGCCTCGAAAACCAGCTATTCAGACTTTTTAAAGGTTATGTTATAAATTAGCGGGCTGCAGTTGAGAAACTGCTGCATCTGCTCCTTCCTTTCTTCAGAAAGGGCAGCAAGATGTCTAAGTCCAAGAGTTGGCTCCCTCCGCCTTGCCTAGGAGTCAAGATTAGCCTAGTGCAGGAGATGTGACTTTGCCCTCAAGATATGGCTGAGGCCTGAAACTCCCATTCTGCTGTTCACGCAGGAACTCGGTAAAAACGGATCTTCACGAGCAATCTTAAAAGAGAAAGATTTACATTTCTTTTCCAGTCTATTCAGCTCTTTTCAGAAGTTGTGTAAAACAGAACTCCTGCAGGGTGCCTGTTAGAGAACTCATAGGATTGATCTTTAACTGTTACTAGGATATCGCAGGATTAGATATTTTCCTATTAATTTTGCAAGGCTGCCGCTTTCACTAGATATTAATTATTAGAAAAATGAGATAGTAATGAGCTCTGAATTTAAAAAGCAATAGCTTTAGTTAGAGAGGGTATAATAATTCATTTTGAGTCAAGATATCAAGAATGTCAAGGTGTCACTCTGAGGTGAAAATTGAGAGTTACAATTTGCAATAGGTCTCTCAAATTGAAGTAGCAGACCTGAAAATATAGAATTCAAAATTAAATCATTGTTTATTTACATGGCTGGGTGACTGTTTTTAGGACTGAAAGTACTAATTTATCTCTGCTTATATATCTCTCTATATAAATATTGTGTGTGTGTGTGTGTGTGTGTGTGTATATATATATATATATATAGCCTTTGATTCTTTGAGTATTTTTTTTGTCATACTCAGTTATTGAGTTTATTTATCAGGAATTTCTCTTTTATTTCAGGATTCTTCTATTGAAGAAGAGCTCCGACAGTTGCTGTCTTCTTTACCCCAGACGGAGCTAGATGAGTGTACCCAGTATTTTACATCCTTGGCTCTTAATGAAAGTAGTCAAAGTCTAGCTGCTCAGAAGGTTAGCTCATTTATTCATTCGGTAAATATTTTTGGGTGTCCACTCTTTTCAAGATACCGTGCCAGGGGCTAACACTTAGAACCTTAGAATAGTTACTCTGCCATAACTGAGTGAACATACTGACTTCTGGATTGTGCACTGGGCTAGGTGTCAGGAATGACAGGGAGGAAGGTAAGTAAACAGTCAAAGAGTGTGTAAGAGATTCATGTTCCTTCAAGAGCCCTTTGCTTACGAGGTCATTTCTAGCTTCATAGGAGGTAACTTCTAAATTGCATCTTAAAGAATGAATAGATAGTAATTTGTAGTTTTAAGTATCACCTGTGTGCTGATGCCTAAATTGATATCTCTAGTCCTTTGTTCTTACCTAAGCTCCAGATTTGAATATTCAACCTCCTACTTGATGTCTCTACTCAAATGTGTACTAGGAATCTCAGACTAACAGGTTGAACCTGCCCTTGCACCACAAAACCCTTCCTCCTTTAGTATTTTCATTTTAGTGAATGGCATAGCAGCCACCTAATTGCTTATGCTGAAGATGTGTTCAAATGCCATCTCCGATGGGCTGGCTGGCATTTTATATCCTCAGCCCTGGGCTTAACACTTCTGTTCTATGTTCTCTCTTCAATTCTAGTTCCCAAGGGTTTCCCTTTATTTCTTCTTTTTTAAAAATTTTATTATTATTGTGTTTTGTAGGGATGGGATCTCACATATTGCCCAAGCTGGTCTTGAACTCCTGGTCTTAAGTGATCCTCCTGCTTCGGCATCCCAAAGCGCTGGGATTATAGGTGTGGGCCATTGTGCCCGGCCTGTTTCTTCTTTTCTTTAGACCTTGGCTACGTTTTAAAATAGTTTTTATTGTATTTTATCAGACATTCCTAATGTTTGTGATGAGAGGGGTTCAGCAGAAGCCAAGTTCACCATCTTGTTGGATCTGGAAGACTTCCTCATCATTTCCCTATCACCTCTCAGCTAGACCTTGCAGCAAGCTCCTAACTGGTCTCTCCGCTTCCATTTCCTGAGGGCAGCCAGGGAGATCTTTTTAAATACATCAGTTAGAAGACTATACTTTCAGGGATTGTTTGTATAGTTTGGTACTAAAAACATCAGTTAGATCCAGTCACATCACTGCTTAAAGCACTCCAAATGGCTTCCCATCAAATGTTAAATCCAAGTCCTTTACTTTTTATACTCAAGACACAGACACGCTCTTGTCTACTGCATGGCTTCCCCCAAGGGTGGTGCCCCCAGTGATAGTGATGAGATTGGCAGGAAGTTGCCAGTAGGCACGGTTATAGGACTAAAGTTTGTTTGGTGGCAAAGTGTGTGAAAACTGAAGGAGACCCTAACACAGGCCAGGAGAGCAGAGCGTGCTTGGCTGTGGGCACAGTCTCAACAGAGCTCTCAAAGTGCCCTACAGGAACATTCAACTGCTGATGTCACCCTCCTCTGGAGTAAGGTGGCCTTTGGACGTGAAAAGCTATTCCGGTGAAGGTTTTGCTGCTGTTTTTGCTGTGATCTGCATAACTGGTGTGAACTGATCCTATTACATGCCAGAGGGCTGCTTCCGAGTGAGTCAAAGGGCAGAGTCCTAGGCGCAGCTTCCTAAACAGACTCCAACTCCAAGCCTCCTAGAAGGCTGTTACTGAATTCCAGTATTCTTGGGGTATCATCTCAGCAAGTTTTTGTGCTAATAAAATCTCCTATCTCTAAGAGAAATCAGAACAAATAACCATTACTATTAACTGTAATAACTATATAATCTACTCAATAAGGAGCAAGTATTTTGTCAGTAAAACAAATTACAGTATTTTATATTCTTTTACTAGTTGAATGGTTTATCTTCTCATTTTCCCTTTTATGAGAAATTAGGGACACATCAGTAGATACAACTTCTCTAGTAGACTTTATAATAAATTTCCCCTTTGGGGTCATATTTTGGAATTTCTCTAGTGAGTTATAATTGTTTTGTTCTCTTTGATGCTCAGAAGTCCATTGTGTGGCCACTAGAGCCCTTCTTTAGGGTGGCCTTCTTGTCCTTTTTAATTCTGTTCCCAAAAAGGCTGTGAAAGCACCTTTGTTTTCTGACAGATGTCCCTGGCTCTGCTTGATTCTTCCTGCCTACAAGATTTGGCTGCTCCTCCAATGAGATCTGGTTCTTCTTAGCAGAAAATAGAGTCAACAGCTCAGGCACTAGGTATGCATATTATATTGTTCCACGCTAAGGTAGAGCAAACGGACCCAGGGCTCCTGGACACCTAAGTAACAGAACAATTACCTTTTTCTTAAAAGGCCTTAAATTCATGATGGCATTTTCAATCCAAATAATAGCTTTATTGAGATATAATTCAAATACCATAAAACCCTTTACAAGTATACAATTCCTCGGGTTTTAGTATACTCACAGAGTTGTGCAATCATTACCACTCTCTAATTCCAGAATATTTTCACCCTCCCCAAAAGAAACCCTGTAACCGTTAGCAGTCATTCTCTATTCTGTGGCTCTGCAGCCCCTTGCAACCACTAATCTATTCCTTCTCTCTATGGATTTGTCTATTCTGGACATTTCATATAAATGGAATCATCCAATATGTGACATTTTGTGTCTGACATCTTTCATTTAGCATAATGTTTTCAAGATTCAACCACATTATAGCATGTATCAGTATTTCATTTCTTTTTATGGCTAAATAATATTACATTGTGTGGCTATACCATATTTTATTTATCCATTTATCAGTGATGGACATTTCAGTTTCTATTTTTTTGGCTATTATGAATAATGCTTCTATGAACATTTCCTATTGGGAAAAAATAAACTGTACTGTAAGATACAGGAAAAAAAACAAAGCATTTTTCCTACTTTCAAACACCACTTAACATAACATTTTTTTTTTTTTTTTTTTTTTTTTTTTTGAGACAGAGTCTCACTCTGTTGCCTGGGCTAGAGTGAGTGCCGTGGTGTCAGCCTAGCTCACAGCAACCTCAAACTCCTGGGCTCAAGCAATCCTTCCTGCCTCAGCCTCCCAAGTAGCTGGGACTACAGGCATGTGCCACCATGCCCGGCTAATTTTGTCTATGTGTTTTTAGTTGTCTGATTAATTTCTTTCTATTTTTAGTAGAGACGGGGTCTCGCTCTTGCTCAGGCTGGTTTCGAACTCCTGAGCTCAAACAATCCGCCCGCCTCGGCCTCCCAGAGAGCTAGGATTACAGGCGTGAGCCACCGCGCCCGGCCAACATAACACTTCTGACACCAGATGTGTGGAGGGTTTATTCTTGTACACGAAGCAGTTCTCCAGCGGACACCAGCTGGGTGTCCTCTAATTCAATTCTGTTCTGACACTGTCTGCCTGGAGATAGTGTCAGAGTCCATAGGTTAAGGACTCAGTCCCATAGGACTGTCCCCTACTTCAGATGCCAATAGCAAGCCCCAGGTTGTGACCTGTGCTTCTGATCAACCAGAAATTGGGAGTTCCAGACCCCCTGCTTGGGTTTGATTAATTTGCTAGGATGGCTCACAGAATTCAGGGAAACACATTACTTACCCATTTATTATAAAGAATATGACAGAGCATTCAGATGAACAGGAGATGGAAGAGATGTATAGGACAAGGTATGTGGGAAAGAATGTGGAGCCTTCATGCCCTCTCCAAGTGAACCCCCCCCCCAGACATCTCCACATGTTCAGCTATCCAGAAGCCCTCTGAACCCTGTCCTTTGGGTTTTCATGGAGGCTTCAATACATCAGCACAATTGATTAAATCATTGCCCATAGGTGGTTAACTCAACTTTCAGCCCCTCTCCCCTCCCCAGAGATTGGTGAGTGGGGCTGAAAGTGCCCACTCTCTAATCATGCCTCAATCTTTCTGGTGACCAGCCTCCATCTGGGAGTTATTTAGGTGCCCTCCAGCCACAGTCATCTCATTAGCACAGAGGTGTGGGGAGGAGACCAAATATATATTTCTTATTAAATCACAATATCAATATTCATGTACAAGCTTTTGTGTGGATATATGTTTTTGGTTCTCTTGAGTACCTAGGAATAGAATTGCTGGGTCATATGATAACTCTGTGTTTAACTTTTTGAGTAACTTTCAAATGTTTTCCACAGAGGCTGCACCATTTTACATTCCCACCAGCAATGTATGAGGGTTCCATTTTTTCCATGTACTCACCAACACTTGTTATTGTCCATTTTTTATTACAGCCGTCCCATTGAGTGTGAAGTGATATCTTCATTCTGGTTTTGATTTGCATTTTCCTAATGATTAATGATGTCGAACATCTTTTCATGTGCTGTTGGCACCTATATATCTTCTTTGGAGAAATGTCTATTCAAATCCTTTGCCCATTTTTTGTTTTTTTACTAAAGTGGTTTTTGTTTGTTTTTATTTATGTTTTCTTGAGATGGGCTCTCACTGTGTTGCCCATGCTGGATGGAGTACAGTAGCTATTCACAGGTGCTATCATAGTGCACTATAGCCTCAAACTTCTGGGCTCAAGTGATCCTCCCACCTCAGTCCCCTGAGTAGCTGGGACTATAGGCGCTCACCACCATGCCTGGCTCCCTTTGCCCGTTTCTTAATTGGGTTACTTGTCTTTTTGTTGTTGAGTTGTAAGTGTTCTTTATATATTTTGGATACAAATCCCTTATCAGATGCATAATTTGCAAATATTTCTCCCATTTTGTGGGTTTTCTCTTCACTTTCTTTCAGGGCCCTGGAACCCCCTGTCTCCAAATATTCCCACAGGAGCCCTGGGCAAAATCGACAGTGGGGATTCACTTGGCACTAGCCGAATGAACAGAAGCGTCCAGGGGTCCACTGTCCCTCAGCTGCCACCCTGATCCCCAGCACCAACCAGGCCTGGTGCTCTGCAAGCCAGGCAGGGGGCGGCAGGGGAGGTGCCAGGTGGCAGTGAGGCAGCCGTAGACAAGTGGTGGCTGAGAAACTAATCACAATGGGCCCAGGAGATGGACCCTTTTCATCTGGAAGGCCCCCTCC